GGCGGGGGGGAGGGGGTGCGGGGGCAGCCATTTCCCCCCCTCGCAACAGACATAGTCTAGAGAAGCAGTGGTTTGGACACCCTGGGTCTCATCTTTCGTTCTTGACGGCGTGGTGAGGGTAGGGTTGCTGGCCACCAGTCTGGTTCCAAGTTTTAATTCAAGCTTGAGTAGACTTGCATTGTTTTCATCTTACTTGAAATTCTCCACTCCCTGAGCATATCCCTCACTCTTAGCCTGGTTATGCTGCTTTAGGTATTTCGTATTCGGTGAATGACCTTCTTTAGTGACTTCTGTTGCTTCCTCTCTTAGTTAGAAGGTCGTCACATCATTCTCTTGTAGCAACGTGGCTGGTTTTCTCTTATTCTGTGCCTCAGAGTGTGTTCTCTACTCTGAAACGTCCTTCCTTCGGGTCCTGGTGAGCGTTAGGATTCCTTCAGGACTGAACTCAAACTCTGCTCTGGCTCAGACACCTTCTCTGGCTCGCCCTCCCTGTGTCTGCGTCCAGCATCTCTGAGTCCCCACACTGCGTGTCTCAGCGTGGCTGTTGCCACCACTGTTTATAAGCTCCAGTGGGACCAGACTCTTCCATCCGTGAGTTTGCAGCATCTCACTAACATGGCATCTGGTAAACGAAGAAATAAGTGAACAAATGCGTAGTGCTAGTCTGACTGTGTCAAATCTTTGAACCATTTCCTGTCGTAGGAAAGGAATCCCTTTATTACACCTTGAAACTTTCCACTAAATGCCGGCTCCTTTCCGTCACTTTCTCGCTCCACTCAACAAATCTCCCAAACTTCTTTGGAATAATGAAATTTTGAGGAAGTGCAACAACATTACGAAAACAACTCCTCCAAACCATTTTTTTTGGTCTTCCTTGATGTTTATATCCCATAAATGTATAACTCAAATGCACTGTTCGTGATAATGAGCCATTCTTAATACAGTACTGATTGAACACCCCTCTCCAAGAAGGTCACAGTGCTGTACACACATGATCCCCATAGTCTTCATGACATACCTGAAGGAGGGTGACCGCCCATTCAGAATTCACCATGCTCCGACAATCCAACTATGTGAAGTTGACTTTCTCTCTCTCGGGGCCAGGGGAGGACCAGAGCAAAGTTCAAGTCTGCAGTGGCAATGGCCATGTTCTTACTACTGATCTTACATTCCAGAGCCTTCGGGGCAGTCTCAGGTCAGAAACGGAGCTGAGTCTCTCGGCAGCTGCAGGAAAACCAAGAGTCAAGTCTTGGAGTAATACTCATCATAAAGTGCGTAGATGAAGTGTTCAGGGAGGTCAAAGGAGGGAAGGTGACTTCCGCCTGGTGGGGTACGGCAGCGCCTTCAGTGGGTGGGGCCTGCGGTCCTTCATTGTAGGCTCGTGCGTCCAAGTCCCATGTTGGACATTTAGTAGAGAAGCAGTGTGATCTGGGGGTAATTGGCCCTGAATGAAATGGAGAGAGCTTAGATGTTTGATCCCAACTCTGTCGTTAGTCAGCTGTGCGTGAAGTCACGGTTCCCTTCAGACGTATAAATGAAGAGCATTGGGCTGAATGCTCCCCAGGCCCTTGACAGCTTTAGAGCAGAACGATTTCTGTTCTTGCAGAAGCTCCCAGAGCTGCTGCCCCAGACCTCCGTGCACATCAGAGGTCCGGCTGAATGCCCATAGCACTCTGTCTAGGCCCCTTTTCTGATGTTTGCCACCATTTGTTCTTCTTTCGCTTTGTGCACATCAGCTGCCATGATGGATGGGAAGCTCGCTGAGGGCAAGAGTCCTCTTCATTCATTTTTGTGTCCTGTACATAGTGTAGGTACACTCACCTCCTGTCTCCTTGCCTCAACCTGTGACTCTCACCTGACCCTTTTCAGCACGTTGGCCTGTTGTCTTTGCTCTCTGGAAAAGAAAGATGCCACGTCCTCATCCTCTGCCCCAGACTCCACTGAGCGAATCTTCTTGAGATAGTCGTGTGCAGTTCTCGTATCTCCTGCTGCTCTCCTCCCTATTACTCCCTAGCTCCTGCAGTGTGGCATTCTGGCCCCACCGCCCCACAGAAACTGCTTTTGATCAGTTCCCAGAAGAAAATCGTATTGTCATATCCAAAAGGATACTTGGGCATTTCCATCGTAGCGTGCTCTGACCATCACCTTGTTCTGACAGCTCTCCCGCGGGGCTCCTGCATAACCAGTTATTCCTGCTCAAAACCTCTTCGCTTCCTTTTTCTTGATATTCTCTATGGTTCTCTTGATAGTCCTTGGCTCTTGGCTCTTTTCACTGTACGTTCCCTCATGGACAGTTTCACCCATGCCCATGGCCCCAGAGCCGTCACTACAGCCTGGGTGCTCTGTGGCACCCAACTTGTCTCCAGCCCCAGTCACATCGAGTGTGGCATGTCCAGACCTGCACTAATCAGTCTCCCCCAAAACTACTTTTCTCATGTTTCCCCTCTTTGGGCCATGCTCCCGTGATGGTTCTCATTCCCCCTCATCCCCACAACCAGCCAGTTGCCTCTGAGGTTTAGGCCATCAATTTCACACGGATGTCCGCAGTAGCCTCTTAGCGGCCCCCCCCACCCTGTCCCAATTTATCCACCACATCGTAGCCAGAAAGGACTTTTCTGGAATTTAGATTTGATCTTGTTGCCCTTGCTACCTGAATCTTCTATGCCTGACTTGACTTTTAGACACAATTTCAGTTCCTTAGTACACAGGATCCTCTTGAGACCCAGGTGCCAACTGCCTTTGCATCTCCTTCTTGCGCCCTTCCCCACACACATATTGGCCTCCTTGCTAGGAGGAAGTATGCTTTTTCTCACCATTGTGCCTTGCACAGGATATTCTCTTGGTTTCAGATGCCTTTTCCCCCTCTTCTGCGAGCAAGTCCAACTTGACCTTTAGGACTCGAATCACATATCCCCTTTGCTAAGAAGCCTTCACTTTCCTCCCCAGGCAGAATGAAGTGCTTGCTCCCTTGAGCTCCTGCACCCCCTTGCTCTTCTGTCTAGCATAGCACTTCCCATGTTGCTCCTGGGGCTGTTGACACATCAGCCTCCCCCATACACACTGAGCACCCGAAGGGCCTGAAATTCTTTATTGGGCCTTGTTCCCCAGTTCCTAGCCTAGAGCCTGAGACACAGTGGGTACTTCACCCATCTTTGCTGAATAGATGGATAAAGCCATGCTAGAAGGGTAGCCACCTTCTACCCTGGGTAGAAGCTACCCTACCCTGAGACGGACTCAGCCCATCTTCCCCAAGCATTAGCTGTAGGATAGAGCCCACCTTACCCAGCCCAAACCAGGACTTTTCCACATTTTACTTCTGTCTGCTTTTTAGGGATAAATTCCAGTCTTTTCTGAAAAGATTGCTCTACTTGCTGACCCCTGAACATTCCATTCTCATTCTAGTCTCTCCTCCACAAATTGAGTATGTTAATGGAGTGGGAATCCGAGTAGACCCCACATGTAAAGGCCTATGTTCTATGCATAAGAGCATCTTGCCTTTTAGAATAAACAAAGCAGGGCGCCTGGGTGGCTCAGATGGTTAAGCGTCTGCCTTCGGCTCAGGTCATGATCCCGGGGTCCTGGGATCGAGTCCCGCATCGGGCTCCCTGCTAGACGGGGAGCCTGCTTCTCCCTCTGCCTCTGCCTCTCTCTCTCTCTCTCTGACTCTCATGAATAAATATATAAAACATTAAAAAAAAAAAAGGATAAACGAAGCAGCCCTGAATTATTTAGCCTCTCGTCCCCTGATAGTACTCCCTCTTTCCCACTCCCCTTGTGTTTTGAAGACCCTGCCAGGCATTAGCTACACATGGCCCTAACTGCCTGATGATAATTTTCCATCATTTAAGTGCCAGAGCCAAGTACCATTCCCCTTTCCTTTAAATTAGATAAAACCCAGAGCTGGGGCTTGCAAGTGATGGAAGTCCACTGGGGGAATTAAAGGTTCAGAGAGAACGGGACCCATTATAATAAAAGCATTTGCAAGGCCAGTGATTCCATCTACACTGTGGCTCTGAGGTTCCTTGGGGTATGATGAAATATAAAGTGAGAGGACCTTTGAAAGTGGTTGGATGAATTTATTTTAATTGGAAATGGTGGTAGCATTCTGCGCTTGGAGGAAACTCCGTGGATCGTGCACGGTGGTGAGATGGACATTGTGTAAAGAGCCACAGAGCACCCAGGGGCACCACGATTCAGGACCTTGGCGCCACTCTGTCTCAGGTTCCTCCCACTCCTGCACACCTACCAAGCGAACCTGATCGTCAGATCCATGCCTCCTGCCCTCCCTCCCACCTCCCCTCCCTCCTCCCCTCCCTCCTCCATCCCTTTAGTAGCTCTGCATTCCTCTGTCATACTTTGTATTGAGAAAAATTACGTAATAGCGCCTAAATCAATCAACTGCTAGACCTTCAAATTACTCATAATTGTGAGGTCTAAGAAAAATCCCTGCAGCAGAGAGCATGGCCAGAAGAAAAACAAAGACAATCTGCATTTAAATGTGTAATATACTACAGAAGAACAGTAGTTCATTTTTCCCAGCATGTCCTGGGCCCTGTTCACGGCGCCCCCTTTATATGCCTTTGCTCATTTCATTCCTGCCGTGCAGGTGTTACCTCTGTTGCACAGATAAGGAAACTGAGGCTCAGAGAAGTTAGCGCGCTTGCCCAAAATCATGTGGCAATGATGATGAACGGCAGAGCCAGAACTGCCTACAAGATATGGGCAGAAACTATACTGAGTGGCAGAACCAGGTTTCAAACTCAGGTCCGACTACAAAGCCCAATCCTGTGTCGCAGGGCCCAGTGACTCAAAAGGGTTCTATTCCTGAACGTCACCACAGGCTTGCATTTTCATGCGTTTACTTTTGACGGGGAGAGATCCTGTTATTACTGATGTGTCCTTGTAACAGTTTGAGGACTCAAGTTTAATAGTGTGGGGTTTCTGAGACTGTTCATACAGTTGTTCAATCTGCCTTTACTTTCTCACTTTTGTATTTTTAGATGCATCATCCCATTCAGATGAAACCTGCAGATAGTGAAAAGTCAAACGGTAGGTGGTGACCAACTGTCTCCTGTAATACTGTCTGTTTCTTTCAATGAAGGAGTCAGACGGGGGAGGGAGGAGCCGGCCCCATGTGCTTCCTGCTCTGGGAAAAGTGGGGGATACGTCTCTGGTGTAAAGATCTGTTGAAGACATTGCAAGAAATGGTTTTCCGTGTCCCTCTGTTCGGGGCTTGCTCTGTGTGGTAACTCTGTGGCCTTTGCCTCTTGTTGATCCCCTCCCACCGAGCAAGCATCCCAGGACACCTGATGGAGAGGAAGGACCTCAGGGTGTGTAAAGTGGATGAGCGGGAAAGGGCTCACCCACCAAGAATGCTGCTTGTCTTTTCTCCTCCTTTGGTGTGTTCCTCTATGGCACTCTTCTCTAAGTTGTACCGATGCATCTGCATCCAAATTCATTCAGAATTCAGCCAGCTGATTACATAAATGGACGCTCAGTACTAAAATATGCATGGGATGATGTCTGTGAAATCATCGAGATTTACCTCTCCAAGATGCGGAAGGGCCAATAGCCACATTTCTCTCTCCTAACTTTCTGCTTCCGTTTACACCCGCCTTCTGTCCCCATTTTGTTCTTTGAATTCACTGAAATGTATGTTAAAGGAATCTTCTACCTTCTCAGACCTCAGCGCGTCTCCGTCCCCCAAGACTGACATAATCAGCACTGTTTGCTTCCACAGGCAGGTCGGCACCTCATTAATTAGTAATCAGGGCAGAAGCCATGCACTCAGAGATCTGCATATCTGCAAATGTAAATTATGATTGGGGTCTAAATCTCTCCACAAGGCATTTTTTGCTAATTGTAGTGCATCCCATCTTCTGGCTTCTTCACAGACTAGGAAGTTTTGAAGAAAATTCCAAGTCAGAGCATGGTACCACCAGCACCTGATTGATCCGTCAGGGAGTAGACTTGGGCGCTTACCCCCTCTCCCCACCCATCTCCTCCACCACTGCACCCCTGTCTGAGAGTCTGTCCCCTTCTTCCCGTACCACATACCGCAAAGGCAGCATCCAGCATCAGAGGGTCCAAAACCTCACCCTGCTTTCCTGCAGGACCCCGGTCAGGTGACTTCACCCCTTTATTCAGCAGTTACCCCGTGATAACTTACTGTGGGTGGGGCCTGTTGCTAGGGGCTAGGCTTCGGCCCTGAGTCTGAAGCAGAATAAGGGGAAGGACTAAGAAAGACACTGCCCTGACCCCATGGAACTTACTGACGTTGAGTCTACTGATCTAACGGTCACTTAACAACCAAACTTGGATCTCCTCATTCATGAAATGGGAGTCATGGTCACTACCTCCATAGGTAGGTGTTTTTTGTTTTTTGTTTGACTCACATAAGATACAACAGTGTTTTGCAAACAATAGAGCACCACTTCTCTAAAATGTGGGTTATTGTTACCTCCCGGATTTTTCTCTGGCCTCATAGGGCTCTGCACTGAGAGTATCTACAGGCAGAAGGCCAGGTGCCCATGCTGACTCCTGAGCCTTTTTGCTCCAGAAGTACACATTTACAGTCTGTTCTGTTCCTCATGGGAGAGAGGAGTTGTGTATTCGGGGGATGAACCCTGTCTGTGAAGTCATCTGGGAGCTCCTGGCCCCTAAGAGATGCTCCCTGTCTTTGGACTCTTAATTCTCTAGCCTGGGTCAGGACAAGGGCCATGAAGGAGGTGTGGTCTTATTTCTGAACCTTGGGTCACTGTTATAAAAACAGGATGAATTAGATAACTCCTCTGGAGATGTTTGACCTGGAATACCCAAGTAGCTGGGCCATGAAAGGGTTTCTTCTTTAGCTTTGCCGCTGTGTGGACACAACGCCTGACTTAGAGAACCCGTCCTATAGGCTAGCGACCTGGAGGTCTCAACTGGTTGGTCACCCTTGCTTCTAGTGTCAGCTCTGGACTCCGAGGCTGATGTTTGCCCTGGGTTTAGAATGGCAGCAACAGAGTAGAACCGCCCTCAGCCAACCATTTTGCCAAGCAGGATTAGACACTGTTATTACTAAGATGCAAAGATACCTAAAAATGCCGTTGTTCAGGAAGCAACTCAGGGTAGCAGGTAAAAGCGATCTCGAGGAGCTCAGACTTGACCCCTGCCTGACCATGCACGTGTTTACTGGGTCCTTGGGCAGGTTCTGTAACCTCACCCAGGCCCCATATCTCTGGCTGCAAGAGGGGGCGCTCGGTGGTCCGCAGTCTGAATTCTTCTTGTGACGCCCACCTTACGGGGTGCTTCGAGGAGTACATAAGTTAACATCTACAAAGAACTTGGCCTAATGCCTGGCACTTAGTGAATATTTGCTCTGCTAAGTCATCGGTGCGCTTGTGGGAGGTGAGCGGCGGTGTTATGCTTTGTGGGCAGCCGAGGCTGCCGCTCCTACCAAAGCACGGCTCCGGACACACGAAGGAAAAACCACCTCCACACACCTTCTCGTTGGGCCAGTTCTTCCTTTGCTTTATAGATTGACCTTCACTTTCTGAGTTTCCGGGGCGGCAGGGGCGGGGGGGAGTCAAAAAGTGTAAGTGGACTGAAAGCTCCTTTTAAGGCATTTTTCCTTATGGAGGTGCAAAGTCTGTGCCTCACCTTGAGAGACGGAACAGGCCTCAGGGTTCTCCTTGGACCTGGCTGAGGAATCAGGAGTGATGTATCATTTTCGAAAGCAAGTGATAAAAGGCGCAAGTCCTTTCTGATTTCACATGGCAGTTTTGACAGGTAAGCGTGGTTTCCAAAGCTCATAGAGCACAAAGATTTCTTTGGCTCAGATGCTCTCAATAGCTCCTGGAGTTGTGAAAGAGAGATAACGAGCTCTAATTGCACCTTTATTGAGTTTGCTGACATTTATGGATAACACAAAGGACTCATCACAGTTAGACAGTAACCATCTTCATTATCAGTATGTTCGGCTTTCGGAAACTTTGTATTTGCTGAGCAAGAAAGGGCTGCTAATCACTGATTAATTAGTGATGGACAAATGAATTCCAGAAAGCAATCGCTCTTTGAAGCCTTCATCCATCTAGAGATTCTGACAAAGGGAACCACTGTGGTAAGCCCAAACACACTCGGTTGCTCTTGGATCTGCCCCGCCCTTCAGTATTTTCCTACACAGGCTTTCCAGATCTCCAGGCCTCCTAGAGCCTGCCCTCTTAATTGGCTCTGATTTAAGCTGCAGCCTCTAGCATATTTCTGCAAACTCATAGCATTTTACTTCTAACTGTGCCAGGTGTTCAAAAAAAAATCCCATTCTGGATCAGCAATAAAATACTGGAGTCTTTAGGAAGAACACACTGAATAAATACCCAGATTTCACAGACTCCAAGTTGTCTTACCATTCTTCCACTGCGTACAGTTGAGTAATGGCAGGGGAAGAGGCTTGATTGAGGAGGTGTGGATTCTGGATTGCAGCATACCCTAGCACATAGTTACTATCTTTCATTCTGTATACCATGGGAGGGCCTCTTTTCCAGCTTTGTTTGCTATGCAGGAAAAGGTACCACCTGTGCAAGATTGAAAAGTACATGCAGTTGCCGGATCTGAAGTTTGTCTAGCAGTAAGTGATAAGAAAAGCATAGAGGTTGCCTTTGGTTCTGTGCTGGGGGTCTCAGCGACCAGCCAGTGTTCACTCTTATGTCGTGCTCCTGGTTGAGAGGGTTGGTGTTTTTGTTTTGTTTTACTCTGTAGACAGAACATAAATGCATCCTGCTTGAACCCTCCAACCTCACAACTTGTTGGGGCTCCTTAGAGCCTCACATCCAGAAATGCCAAGTAAGCCCTTTCTCTTTTCTCAAGGCCTCTGAAACCCCTGCTGTCCATGCATTGAGTTCAGAGCTCACAGGGTCAAAATGATGGAACGTGGTCAGGGAGGTTGCAGGTTTGCAAGCCTCCAGTAAAGATGGGAATCACAGGGCATCCCCATCCGGTCACTTTCCAATGCACTGGAGGAGGAAGAAATAATTTTGAAATTCAAAGTGGAGAGACTCACAGATTTGGAGGCAGTAATTAAATGCCATATGTTAGCACTAACACATTGAAAAGTTGTTAATTAATTCAGGCCGCCCTGAATCCAGGTGTGACTTTGACAGATTGTACACCAGGGTGTTCGCACAGACTTACAATTAGGGATTTTTCAAAAACGAAGTTTCTATTCCTCGAACTTAAAAAAGTCCCCACTTAAAACTTAAAATATTAACCCATTCTCATGCCACGGGAGGAGAGCTTGAAATGGTCCCTGGTTATGGAAGAGCTTCCGGTCCGGTCGTAATGAGTGATGGGGCCGCCCCACCCGCACAGCACTCGGTGTAAAAAGTATCGCCCCTTGCTCATTCATCTGTTATCCTGAAGGAAAGTAGGCTTTTCTTTCTTTCCTTCCTTTTTTTTTTTTAATTTCCGTAAAGCACTTAACAGGATACTGTAAACACAGTAGGTTTGTTGAAGCAATCTGCATTCGCGTGGATTGAAAACCTAAGTGAGCCGCTGCCTGCCTGTGGACACTGAGGAAAAAACCCCACCAAGAAACTCATCAAAAATTGATGGACAGTTCAGTGAATGCACGATAATTATGTTTATTTAAAATGCTGACAAAGCTGTTTAAGGATCCTCAGACTGGGAATCCCAGGAATAGGTTTTACAAATAAATTTTCACTGGGAAAACTCGAGGGGGAAGAAAGCGGGGAGTGAGTAGTTCTCCCCGTTTGCCCTTAAAGCACGCACGGCCCCAACTGTTAGAGCCACAGAGGTACTAGGGCTCTAGTGATTGCAAACATCCAGCTTCCTGGATGGGGCGCACGCCCAGGAGGACATCGGCATTTCGGAAAGCATCTGGGAGGTGTAGGTTTCCGTTATATTTCCTTAGCTGCTACTTAGCATTGAAAAGAGCGTTCTCTTCCATCTCCCTGCCCGGGTTTAGCCGGCGGGATGCCTCGGAAGCCAGGGTTTGTTGAGCAGTTGTTTCCAGTTCTTACTATGCCTCTTAGGAAAAATCATTCTTTAAGCTTATTCGGGAGCTGCACATTTAGCTTATGCCTGCATCACCCTGGAGCTCCAAACCTGCAGTGTTTTAGCTCCATGCCATCATGATAGGTTTCCCAGTGAAACCAAGGACTCACTGGCAATTTATCATTTGCTTTTGTTTGAAAGAACTAAAACGGGATCCTTCAGAATAAGAAGAAATTCAATAGGATTTTTTTTTTTTTTTTTTAGTCTCAAGAAGATATTAGCCACAGCTTCCTCAGGTAGAGGTCCTAGAGATGGGGGGCAGGGAGAAGGCTACAACTGGGACTAGAAGTTGGCCGCTCCCTGCTCTGCAGCGCTTCAGTCCGTTCCTTCCCATTCGGGGGGATGCCGTGTTCCCTCTGGGCCACCGTGTCATCCTGGTGACCCCGCTGTTGGTGAGCACAGATGCTACTCCCACCACTAACCCATAGATCACTGGTAGCTCACCTGCTCTGATGGGAAAGAAAAGCGCTTCTTAAATGTAAGATTGTTATCTCAGGGAGGAAGGCAGGTCCTCACCAGCTTCCCCCTACGACTCAGAGCCAGTGATGCCGTTGCCCACGTCCACTTTGACGTACCCATTGCTGGGTAGCAATTACACCCAGGACAGGGTGTTCCTTTCCTTATACCTTGTGCTGCCCCCATGCTTCTACCAGTCTCTCCCTGTGCTCCTTAAAGGCCAGCTTACATGCCTTTCTCAAGCTCTTGGCACACGATCGGCAGCTCATGGTGCTATGGCATCGTGGCTTCCAATGGTCCTCAGAGCCTGAGTTTCTCTGCACTGTCTCGGGAGCTGCCCAAGTGCAGAGCGCGGCTGGTGGGTGGGATTCTGGGCTTCAGCGTTTCTGCCCGCCCCCCCCACCCCGCCCCACTTCTCTCTGTTCCTTAAGAAAGACAGCAAGGATAGAGAAGAGTTGAAACCCATTTTATGGATGATAAGACCAAGGTCCACAGAAGTTTTCTCACTTCCCAAGGTCGCACATCAACTCAGTGGCGGGGCTGGGACCAGGCAAGTCTCCTGACCTGGCCCTGCCCACCCCTGGAGGCCTCCTTTCACTCCTCTGCTCTCGTAGGAAACAGCACCACCGGGGACAGGACTGGAGCCAGGAGCGGGGCAGCAGGTGTGGTCCAGGTTAGGCCCCCTCCTTGCTGAATGACCCCAGGCAAGTTCCCTCCCTGCCCCACGGGGTGGGGTGGGTGTCTTTTAGAGTGAGACAAAACGTCTTTCAAGTCTCTCCCTTCCAGTCTGGGCTGTACAGGAAGGAGCACTTAGTTGCCTCACTCAGGCCTCTCAGAGCTGCGCTGTCCACTAGAATGTCACCTGTGGCTTTTTAAATTTAAATTAGTTACAGTTAAATCACAATAACAATTCAGATTCTCAGTCACACTGGCCACGGTTCAAGGGCTCAGGAGCCACACGTGGCTTTAGCTACTGCAGTGGACACCACAGGCAGAAGGTTTCCCCTCGTGGACGGGTGTGGCTTCAGAGCAAACCTCCCTGTGTCCCATCCCTGCTTCCCCCACAGATCTCTCCCGGGCCCCAGCGCGGGGTGGGGGGTGTCCAGGCCAGTTCGACTCAGGCCCCAAGAGCACCTGGCCCTAGAAAGCCTAAAATACATTCTTGTTGTTTAAATGAAAATGAGACACTGTCCAGGGCAGGAATAAGGGAGACAGAGATAAAAGCCAGTTGAAGAGCAATGGAGAGATGATGATACAGACACAACACGGAGGTACGAACACAGCGGTGGACGGCAAGGCCCTAAGCCGGCCTGCCTCAGGTGCCACCACCGCCAGCTGCCCTTGCTCCCGGTCCCGAGAAATGGATTAAAATGCAACACAGGAAGTAAGCAAGACTCTTCCCCATGGACGTCTAGAACGGGTTTTGTTTTTTTTTTTCTCTTTCCTAAAAAAAGGCTGCAAACACTGTCCTGAAATCAGTGATAATTGAGCCTTTGAGGCTAAATGTAGGACACTTATCCTGAGCGCAAGCTTGTAGATTTTGAGGAAAATCTCCCAGGTCATCAGAGGTAAACCTTCCCCAGTCTTACCCTCCTGGCAGTTTCCAAGGTTAAGAATGGGCGTGTGGTTGTCCGTTAAGGGCTCCACCCTGAGCATCGGGCCGTCCCGATGGGCTTCTCAAGTAGCCACAGCCCTGTTCTCTCCCTACAGTTGGCTTACTCTTCAGTTGCAGGTGCAGACCATGCCTTGTCCAGGTTAGAGCTGCATAGCCAGTGTGACAGACAGATGGACAGACAGGTTATTTACTGGCTCTCCAGAGAGATGAGCATCTCCCTTATCTCTTCTTATTGTCTGGATCCATGGGGCAAAGCTATTTGAAATTGGGGGAGAAGGTTTTCTCCGAGTGCCCTATTAAAAGTTTTGTTTCCTATCGCACTTCCTCTGTTCATCCCATTTTTCTTTCCCTGACCCTTTTTCTTTCTCGGTCATTCAAGTTAAGGAACACCTACAAAAAAATTCAAAGGCATATTCCAAAATATCTCTATGTCACAGTAGCATTTAGCAACTGCATGGAGCTTTAACATATTAGTAAGCACTGTGAGTCTCCAAACAGGGTGGGAAGGGGAGGACTTTGTAGGTTTCCTGTCCTCTGAAGGTGTGGTAGGGGTAAGCACGAGCTCACAGAGGAAGGCAGTGTCTGGGAAGGTCTGGGCGGGAGAGCAGAGCTGGGGGGCGGGGCATGGAAGTCAGAAGAGCTGGCCTTGGGGCGCTGCTTCCTCTCACATGACTGGGGGCCCCCAGCTTGATGTGGTAATGAAGCATTGATTACATGAAAAGGGATAAAAATGGCCTTTGCTCATTCATTATTTTTATCTCCTAGCTGTGGAAGACCGAAAATTGTTCATAGGAATGGTTTCGAAGAAATGTAATGAGAATGATATCAGGGTGATGTTTTCTCCATTTGGCCAGATAGAAGAATGCCGGATTCTCCGGGGACCCGACGGGCTGAGTCGAGGTGAGTGTGCCGTCTATAAAGTCTCTTCCCTTAAATGCTAATTGGAACTCTGTGTCACAATCAAGGTAGACATAGCCATCGCACGCAGCGAGAGGTTACCCTGTAATGTGTCCCGTGTGATCAAGTTATCCACCATGAACTTTTCACCGTAGCAGAAGGGATCGCCTTGTATTTCTCAGGTCAAGAAGGTTTTGAAGGCATATTAGCTCAGGCTATCCCAGCCAGCGGGGAAGCTGACAGGCTGCCCTGTCGTTATACACGTCTCTTTCGATCTCAGATTGAAGTATGTTTTGGGGGCGAGGGAGGGATGTGGAGGAGGAAAGAATATGGGTTGTTTTCATCTTAGTCTCTGGCTTCCTGCCTCTGCCCGAGAGAAACATGAAGGGGATGGGCCTCTTGACAGCGATAGAAACCAAGGAAAATCGGCAGTGTTCCCATGTAGCGCAGAGCAGGTAGGCACTCAGAAGCACTGGGCCTATCCTGGGCTATGAGGGTTTTATTTTAAAGAACAAAACTTCGGGAGGCCTGAGCGCAGAAAGTCTGTTAAGTGGCAGAGAGATGACTTGGTCCAGAAGATTGTAGGCTCCTCTTTGTCACCGTGACAGAAGCAGATATGGTGGCTTCGAGCACTGACAAAAACCAGTATTTTTGCAAGCAGCTATCCAAGGTAGCGGGAAATAAGTGTTCGCTTTCCATGTTTGCCTCTCCTTGGACAGCGTCACACAGATCCTTCCCTAAACCACTCCTAAGTGCTGTCACTGAGCATTCACCCCCATCAGACTGTGTTTCCCGAGACAGCTCAGGAGGCTGGAGTCAGAGTGTATATATAAAACGTACGTTCCACTTCTAAGAAATCCATATGTTTGCAACACAGAGAGGATCTCATTCTATTAATGTACTTACCGACGCAGCTTCCATGGGGCTAATTAGAAACTTCTTTTCATTCCCAGTCTCTGACCACATGCTGAAAGAAAAGCCTGGGCCTTAAGTCCCCAAGCACGGATTTTCCCCCATCTCCCTCATTTTAGCTGAATGCAGCACCATGTGAGAAAGAACACTTGTTCTTTTGGCTCTGAGACACAAAACTTCACGATGTCAGCTGCTAGAATGGAAGGCACAGAGAACAAAAGTTTCCCGCCTACACCCACCTGCAGAGCCCCGCACGGGAGGGAGTCGAGGGGAACAGTAGGAGGAGGTGAACAGCTTCCAGCTTGCGGTGCCTGGGTCTTCTTCCGAAGGTGGTTTTAAAAGGAAGGAGGCAAGGGAGGGACAGCTGGAGCTTTCCCCGATAGTTGCGAAGGCTGTCAGTCGGCCTCGCTGCAAGCACGGGCGGCCCTAGCAGCTGCACGAGATGGGCGCCGAGCGGGACCCTGACGCGCAGGCGCAGACGACGCGCAGACGATGCACAGACGATGCGCAGACGATGCGCAGACACAGTGCCTGGGGCGGAGCCGGAGCTGCCCGCCCACGCTGCTACCGGCGCCGCCCACAGCAGCCCCGGGGCCGGAAGCGCACAGGAGAGGAGGGTGCCAGGACCATCGTGCCATCCCCCGGCACACCCACCCCCGAGAGCCTTACAGCCACGTGGGGTCATCTGACTGTGCTGGCAGTCCTGATAGGTACGCGCCCGCTCAGGCCAACCAGCCCGGGGCGGGGGGGGGGAGAACCCTGCAGGGAAAGGCAGTGTGGCTAGACGAAGAAGAAGAAAACAGGGAGGAAACACGTGATCCTCTTGCCGCAGTCCCTGTCCTGCTGCCAGTGTAGCAATCCGGACCACCCTTCTCTGCTCTTCTTATTTTCAGTCACACTTCTGTCTTAGCAGTTTCCCATTTGCCAGGGCACACAGCGTGGAGAAAGAACAGAAAGGAAGGCCCTTAAATTAATCGTAGTGAAACTTATAGTGGCCCAGAGGCCGGTGACCCCGAAATCCAGTCCCAGGACTTCTGACGTGAACCGCAACCATAGTCAGTTCCTTGTCCTTAGCTCTGTGCCTCAGTTTCCCCCTTTGTAAAGGGCAGCAGTCACCACAGCTGCCCCACTCACCTCCCAGCGCATGTGGCGGATTTCCTGCAAAAGCGGGCCATCCACGCGGCTTAGGAGAGACCTCGGCTTCTGCTCTTCCTCTGCGGGACCGGGTCCACCCGGCACTTTCTCCGTCCCTCCGGCGGAGACGGTAATGAATAGCGTTGGTGCCTGCAGTGTCTAGAGCTCCTTGAGCCTCCATGAGTTATTTCCGCAGATAAGATTTTCAAGCCGCCCCAGCTTTCGCAGGAAAGAGCAGGACGCAGTACTTGACGAGAGAGCTTGGCTAATTTGATCTGCCATGTGGTTGATGAGCCAGCACTGGACACTAGGAGCAGCCGATTTGAGACAAGTTAGGCGAGCACTCTCATCCGTATTTTATGCAGATGCTGGCTCAGTGTAAAGAGTAGAATACTCCTCCCCGCTTTTTTTTTTTTTCTTCTTCTTCTTCTTCTTCACAGAAAAGTAATTTCTGGTGAACTGATGAGAATTCTCTACGGCAAAAAAAGGAAATTCTCATTTATAAGCATTTGTTCTGAAATATAAAGCCAGACAGCGGTAGGTTTTTCAATTAGTGAGAACCAGGGACTCCTGGGTACAGGGGACGGCTCCTGAATCAGTGTATTTGTTAAAAGAACAATAATTGTCTTTCGTGCTACTATTTTGCTTTTATTAAAGAATTGCAGTTTTCAATCAAATATTAATAAGTGTCTCCCATTAGTGGCTCTGCAGATAAAGGGTGCTCAGCATTTCTGGTCTCCATGCCTGTTGCTGGCTCAGCTGTTTAAGACACAAATAAATAAATAAAAATTAAGTGAAAGGAAAGATTGGCTGCTCTGAAAAGCACCTTCTAATACTAAACCGAGTATAAACTAGTGAGAAAAAAAGTTTTGAGGTACAGAAAAGTGGTTCACATCTCTGGCTTCGCTTTTGCCCAGTTCCGCTACAAGAATGAAGACAAAAGAGGCAGTTAGGGGCGCTGGCTCCCCCCATAGGCATCTCCTGTCATGCCTTCTCTGCCACCCCTGTAGTTTCTCTGCCTCCCTGCAGGGTACAAAGCCAAGGCTTCTCCAGGCTTGTAGGATCAGGGTCCCCCACTGATGCGGAGTAGTGGGCTGCAGGACCCACAGCTCTGGACTTTGGCTTAGAATCACCGTCTTTAAAACAAAAATCATCATCTCCATATTGGCAAGAAAGACCATTTGTAAAGTCCCATCAGATTTGCGCCATGTTCCAGATCGGACCCCACCCCGCCCCCCCAGGAAATGTCATGGCTATCCACGGACAGCACCTAGCATCTACCAAGCACGTTGAAACCAGCACTCAGCAAATATCAGGCGCCTGACTCTCTTTACGCACTATGCCCACATCTAAACATGCATTTTCCCCTCTGGGGGCAATAACCCGTTCTACCATCTTTTCTAATTTGGAAAACCTGGTTTGAGATGCTTTCGAGCCCCTTCGTATTACTCAGATCCTTCTGCAATAGCAGGTCAGCCTCCCAGGCCTGCTGAATGAACCTTCTTCAAGAACGCAAGCAGCGTACCACGAGTCCATGCATGGGAAGTCAAATGGGACGTTTGCTCTCAAAATGAAAGCTGGAGCCTTCTCAGCCAAGGCATTTATCTGTCAGTGTCTCCTCAGCCTGTTGATTTCCTAAAATACACATGTTCTCCCTTATCCATAATCCCACAGTCAGAATGGACAATTTGGGTACAGTCTACAGGGTTGTCTGCACCATGGCAATGATTATCTGTAACTTGGAGACAATTAAAGAGTTTATCTCATTTTTCTTTCCCCATAAAGTGTAGTCAGATCTTCACTGCCATGTAAGGTAACTTTCTGCTTGTTTAAGAATATTCCAGCTGTGTTTATGGTGTTCCAACATTCTCCTGCCAAAACCCTTGACAAATGAAATTGGCAATATTTTCAGGGATGTTGGCAAGCACAGCTTGGATTTAGCCATTAAATCCTCATTTGTTTCCATTATATCTGATCAGAATATTAGGACAGGGCTTTTGACTTTTAAAACACGTACACAGAGCAGACTTGGTTTTGATCAAGACGTCTTAGGCGTGCCCACCTAGTATCTAAACATATGTGGAAACTCGTATCAAATACCCCTGGGTTATTACCTGTAGTTTGTCATCTCGTTCTGAGTGCAGTCTCTGAACCTCCTCTCGGGGGTGAGATTTTTTGCAAACTAGTCAGTTCTGCTCTACACTCAGCCTCAGGTGGATAAACGAGCTGTGTCTCCACGCCAGTTCTAAATAAACTAACCCAGCGCTGGTGATGGTGCATTTGAGTATTAGTTTGGATGCTCTCATGTTATACTGATAGCATATGTTTAATAAACTCTGCCACTGCTAAAAAGATACAGCGAGGAGAATTGGCTGCATTAAGAACTTTCTTTGGCCAAACAGGAATTTATAAACAAGTCTTCCATAGGCCGAAACCTCCTTCATGCCGCACAAGTTACTTTAAATTACACTTCCCTCAGTTGAAATAGAGCAGACTGCTGCTTCTCTTTCAAAGAAGAGGCAGAAAAGCAAGAGGCCCTGGCATCGTACGTGCTTTTAAAAGTGCCTGCTTCCTCCCTTCTTCCTTCCTTCCTTCTCTCTCTCACTCTCTCTTCCTTTATTTCTGGTGCAGACCAAGAATTCATCTAGTTCTCTCAAAATTCTCCTGCAGCTGAGAGAAAAGGTAGAACACCTGTGTGAACAGCTTTTCAGTTGAGATGACAAGTGTAATAGATGTGTTCCAGAATCTTCTCTGTGACAGGGCCACGTGCTTTCCTTAGATCCTGTCTGTAGGAGGAAATTACTTGGAGAAACCTTTCCCCAGTCAATCATTTATCTGTTTTAGCAGCAAGAAGGCAACCTCACCGAACTGGAAGGAGTTCGGTTCCTTTCATTTCTGTGAGCTATCTCTGACATTCTGAAAGTAGAGACAATAAATAATTGTAAGGTAAATTACAGGTTGGCCGCAGTTAAGGACGGAATTTTTCTTTACTTTTTTCAGCTATTATGTATTTGGAGAGGCTTTAAGACAATAATATACAGGCTGTCTTACCTAACAACAACAACAAAGCTTCATTATCTTGGTACATGTGATCTTTTTCCCCATTCTGGTTTCTCCTGCATTTTAGTCAGTAGCCAGAGAACTGACTACCTAGACAGTACACCCACTAATGTAGAACAGAGGAGGGCTGACCCTGAGACATTCTAGAACAGCAGAGGGCTGACTCCACAAGGTCAGAGCAGTTATCCTTTCAAGATTCAAAGGACTCCACTGCACCCAGAAGCTCATTTTTAGTAGAAGGGGCCAGTTGACCTAAATTATTTTTGTCCAATGGGAAGTCAGTTCCTTGGCTTGTAGAAGCAGCTGACAGCCAGTCTTGATGGAAGAAGCTTATGTGACCCTATATTAGTGAAAAGCCACAGATTTTGAGGCCTAATCCTAAAGCCACCACCGTGTTTTCAGTGCCATGGAAAAGAAAATTAAAATCTAGCCATAGGACTACTAGAGCAGAAACTACAAAGGTTAACAAGCTACCAAGCCATGAAACATTGGGTTCTGAAGTTGCAGAACTTCATCCAAAATGGCAGAGAGAGGGAAATTTTCAACACACGCTCTCACTTTACAAACGACAGTAATTTTCCCTCTTAAGTAAATGAACACAGCACACAGTCCCGAACTTGACAGAGCCCCTGAGGAGACAGGTTCTCTCTTATTGCACCACTGCCAATAGAGTAAAAAGGTTAAAGGAGTCATCAGATTTGTCAGATCATTTTTTTGGATGCAGTAAGAGTTATATAATTAGAAGCATCAGTCGAGCTTTTAATTGCAGGTTTCAGAGAGGAAAGAGCAATGGTTCAAGTTTATAGAGATGGAATTTTATTGTTCTATTGCTAATACTTCTGAGACCTCCTAATTGCTGTATCTTTCTCACTAAGTTACTTAAAAAGTTCTGCTTGTTCTGAAATTGTGGTAAATGCATAAACTGTGCCTTATTGATTTCTGTTGACGTTTTACATGTTTGTTTGTTTTTTTAATGCATTCTTAACCTCCATTTGGAAACTGTCAGTTTGGCACATGTTCCTGGATAATAAGAGCAAATAAAGTGAATGAAACAATCTTCTTGACTATTAAAAGCAGAGTTAGGCCAGGTTTCACATGATGTCAAATAAATCTCCATTAGATTATTTGCAAAAGCAAATAATTCCACTGTGGTCTCAAGATACGGAAGAAGAATCATCTTAGCGTTATCTCCTCTGTTAATAATGTCGATGATAATCACGATGTTTTTGAAGGGGTATTTAAGACGGATGGTAATTTTGGGGCTCTTGAATTATAGAGCGGAGTCCGCAATATGGAAGCCCCATAGACGTACTGTCATCTGTCTCACACATCTTCTGTCACACACATCTTCTAGATGCCTCAGAGAAGGCTCCAGATCGCTTTCACTGATGACAGAAGCTACACCCAGTGGAGGTGCAGACAGTGTGTTTAAATAGTAAGCTTCACTAGCTGCTATAATGTCAGAGAAGTATATGAAACAGCTCGACATTCATAGCAAGCTAGACCTCAGGCTTTGTAAGGCCAGCTGAACTGGGAGGTCAATGAGAGATGACTCTCCCATGTACTGAGAGTTTTGTTGTATTAAAAATTACAGCATGATGCAAAAAAAAAAAAAATGCATTGACTTATTTTCATGACTGGATGTTTTTGTGCTTTGGGAATAATGGGCAGGTGTTGCTTTCTCTTATTGCTGTTTGATTAAAAGGTGCTAATACGGTATTGACTTGATAATCTCACCAGGTACACATGCAGAGCAAAAGAAGAAAATATATTTTATGGCTCACAAATTGATTCACATAAACCAAACAATCTGCTGGGTTTTGGTTTTGTTGTGGGGTTTTTTTTGGTTTTGGTTTTTGGTTTTTTTGGGTTTTTTTGGATGTAGGACATTCTCTTTGGCTTACTGGCCACAGGGGCAATAATCATGCCAGAATCCCACTTTCACGCATTCACGCGGAGATGACAACAGGCTTCTGCCTCTCAGTGTTTAGATCTGCTTCATTTGGAAACCTTTTAAGTAGTAATAATAATAATGTTTTGAAGAAATTGAGTGGAACACTAAATTATTCTCTGATACCTAAGTTCAAACTGTGCAGAGCTAAAGAAGCTGAAAATCAATGCACTTTTAAAGTCATTAGAGATCATAAGTGAAATAAGTCTGCATTGCTTTAGCTAAGCTTTTAGTGTGCTGTGGTATTATTATAAAATCAGCCTGAATCTGCATTAATTTCACAGTCTTTTTCCCTAAGAAGCCCAAGGGTGCACGATGAATAAAATGTAAATTTTAGAAGGCAGTGTTTTTATTAGCGAAAAGGGCAATGAGCCATGTCGTTGGAGCGGTGACCTGCACGGTGGCCAGCACCTGCCACCAGGAGCGGGAGCAGGCAGTGTGGGTTCTGGTTAGTTTATGGCACGAGAAATAAAGAGCCATGGAAAGTTCAAGGGGTCTCACAGGAAACATGCAGAGAACTCTACATTGTCTTGTGGATGTTAGACTTTAGGTCAGATCTCTGATGCATACCCGAAACCACAACGTGGAAAAGTCATAAAGATTTTCTACAACTAAGAAATCCAATGCAGATTTTAAAGTTTTGCCTTATGTGCACTATTGACTATTCTCAGAGTAACAGAGCATTTGTTTTTGTTCGTAATTAATAGTTACCAAACAGTTCCTGCAGGATGGGGTATATTTCTCTGCATTGGAATCGCATCAATGTATACGTATACATATATATGTTTTAACTATCCAGAAGAGATGAGATGTATTTATTTGCTGACATTTTGAGCCTTTGGCATTTATTTGCTAATTTGCCCTTGGTGTGAGGATTTTATTATTTGCTGCTTAAAAATCAACACTAGAATTTGAAATCCAAAAGCCCGAATGTGTGGATGCCCTAAGTAAAGATGATCAGCCAAGGAGAAAAATGTAAAATAGCAACTTTTTATTTTAGAAAATGCAAACTAGATCTTGCTAATTTCAAACCCCCCACCCCGTGGCTTTAAAAAAAAAAAAGTGCCCAATACTTTCCCCTCGTCTCCATTTTAAAAAATAAACTAGTCAATAAACCTTTCTGCTTTGGTCAGATTAGCAAGTCAGCACTGTGAGTAAAAAGCAAACTACGATAAAACCAAGAGAAGTTGTTGATTTTTATGTACTACTGAGAACAGTGGCGTCCTGTGGCAGTTCTCGTAGACTGTGTTGGTTTAACAAGCGTCCAACCCTTTTGTCTTGTTGTTTTTTGTCTTTCCTGCTCCCTGTCCCCTTGTTTCCCACAGGCTGTGCGTTTGTCACATTTTCTACAAGGGCAATGGCACAGAATGCAATCAAAGCCATGCATCAGTCTCAGACCATGGAGGTACTGTATCATCTGCCCTTTCTTTGTTTTCTTTGTGCAAATGATGGGGAATGGGAAAGCAGCTCTCTCCTGTGCGGATTGTTCACATGACAATCACAGATGGACACTTTCACCATCTCTTCCATTCATTCATATTCATCCTCTCTCTCGCTCTCTCTCTCGCTCTCTCTCGCTCTCTTTCTCTGAATTTTTCCCCTAATGACTTGAAATGCATTTAGTAAAACCTTCCACGTGCTGTACATTATTTTTTTGAGCCTTTTATTGCATTGGCCTCAGGCCCTGCAACGTAGCATCATGATGCAATTTAAACCAAGACTCCTTCTCGACCTCTAAAGGATCCAGTCCATTCCTGGTCCAGGGTTGGTATGGAGTCAACCTTGACAGCCCTCCCTCCAAATTGCAGCCTGCCCTGTGCCGATCACAGGGTTCTTTTTTTCCCCCTTTTTCTTTTTTTCTGTTCTTTTTTTTTTTTTTAAATGTGGGGTCAAGTTCTCTTTAGTCAAACAGAATTGTGTTTTTGCATCAAGAATGTTAGGAGACAATTAATACTTCTCCTACACTGTTTAACCAGTGAAAATGTTAATGTATGAGAATCCCTTGAAAAATTAGATTTGTCTTTTTACCCAAAAAAACGCACGATAAAAGAAACATAAAGGCTCAAATTTGGTCTCCTAATGAGAGATACTAGCTTTGGGGGAAGATCGATACGTTGATGTGGGTGTTTCACCCACACACGTAGATAGATGGCTCTGTACTTCTAGTCTGTGATTTGGGTCTGGCCTTTCAGAATTTTGCACAAAAGCATTCCAAGAGTGATATGCTGTTACTTATTCTGTATTGTCTGGTAGAATCATTTGGGAGTGCATGTTCTGTACTCTGTATATCTGTGTATGGGTGATCTTTTCTGGAGGTGGCCCTGTGGTGTTACCTGAAGTTACGTTTTCATCTTCTGAAAAGCAAAATATTTTCAATTTTATTTAATGTGCAAAAATTTCTTTATGGATTGTTTGCGCTTTTTTACCTCCGTTTTTTGGGGGGTTTAATTATTTTTTTTTTATTTGTTTGTTTTGTTTGTTTTTTGCAATGCTGCATCTCCCAAAGCATGCTGGGAGCTAAGTGATCATTCTGCGTCATGTTTTGTGGGCAACTTTTTTTACAGTGAGGCGGAAGGTGGGTGGACAAGGGGGGAAAGGAGTGTGCATGGCCTTGTCATTAAGTGTTTACTGTATTTTTCTGAGTTTTGATATCAGCATTGCAAAGCCTATTGTCTTTTTCGAGCTTCATTTTGACTTTGATATTCCTAACATATCTTATATAATCACTGTGTTTTCCTTTCAGTGCAATGCATTTTTAAGACACTCACACCCCCCTACCTGAAGGCAAGCTCAGGTGAAAATCGGCCACAATAGGAGATAATTAGCAGGATTTGAAATACCTAGGGATGCAGTCTTGTACGACACGCAGTCACATCTTGATGCTGTGTTTGTCCCCCACTTTCTCTCCGGCTGCTCCGTTATTGGGGATCAGTCTGAATCCCAGCTACCTTTCAGTTTGGAGATAAAAATGAAAGTACGGTTAGGGAAGAAAAAAAAAGTTTTCACCTGTATTTATTATCTTCCATACATGTGCTTCATTCTTAATCATTTTTATTTCCTGTAATTTAGTGATTTGTACCTTAGATGATTTTTTAACCTAAATTCTTTCAGCTCTAACCCCAGTTCCTCCATCAGTGCCCCCCTGAGTAAAGCTGCAGAGGATGCTGGTCTGTGTTCTCCTATGTTCCTACAGGGAGAGAGCTCGGGAACGTAGTGCAGACCTGGGTATGAGCCAGAACCAAAGAAGAATAGGCTCAGAATGAAAAGAATCTGCTATAGAGATTGGGGCATATTCATTCTTAAGAAATCCTTGATCCTTTGGTATTAACATCTCTATTATTTAAAAAATCAAATTTGGTGCACTTGTTTTTAAATCTGGACACCCATGCTCAGACAGAGGGGCCCTCAGACACTGAAATTTCTTGTTGAATTTAAAAAATACTGACATTTAAATGGAAGACTGTGCAGTATGCCAGTCACATTCTAGGTGTACAACCGAAGTTTGTTGGATTTTTTTTTTTTTAACTAATTTTGTTATTTTCAGGACTCTGGCTCACATCTTTAACCAAGATGTATTATCTAAGAAATTTGAATTCAAAATGATTTGAATGTTTAAAAGAACATGTTCTTTAAAATAATTTTTATATCATACCTTCTATTTTTCCACTTTCCTCCAATCTACGCCCATCCCGTTTTTCCTTTTTATGGTTTAAACAAGTTATTTTGGGCCTAATTTTTTGCTTCTTTATCTTTTTTTTTCTTTTTTTTTTTTTTTTTGGTATTTAAGGAAGAAAAAAAATAATAAATGTACTCTTAGGAGGAGATGCTATGATTTGTTATGGAACAAATTTGATACAACAGTAACAACCCTTTCCATACAAAACCCTCCCTCTGTATAATTTTCATCTTCAGAGTATTTTGCTCTCTTTAAAGCAACAAAGAGAAGAAAAATGAAGTATAGATTTTTTAAGTGGTGGAAATATTATTTTCATGCGGTTGACTGACATTTAACATTCTGTCCTGTGGCTGTGGCTATGAGCTGAAGACCAGTACGCTGGAAGTTCAAACTGAAACAGCCACCTCGATTTTCTCACATTTTTTTTTTATTTTGGGTAATAACAGACACGGTAGCCTCACATATTCACAGCTCCATCCCCAGTAACTACCCAAGGTGATAAAACACAAAACACACGCAGGTTTGTTTTCTAGGAGAAAGAAAAATGACCCGAAGGTAAGGGAAAGAAGGAGAGAGAGAGAGCTCATTTAAGTAGGAATATAAAATTTCTGAGAGGAGAGAGAGAGGGGCCCATTATCATGCTGAGTTTCAATGAAAGTTTTTTTTTTTTTTTAAATCACCTAGGTGGAATGACTTCTTTTTACCTCAGCAAAATTTAACGGCTTTAATGGTGATGAAATGTGTAGGCAAGCTGTAGTAAGAAAGAGAAGGGTAGGGAGGGAGGAGCCCATGTCTCTGCTGAGTGTTGACTGAGTGGAGAATGTTCCAGAGGGGCCCAGGGAGGGAAGTCTTCATGCTGGAGGTTCAGGCCCTTATTTTCCCTAATGATTTTATCCATCTCGGACATGAATTCGTCCTATTTTATAATCCTTGGCCATGCGCTCACTCACTGCCCTTACTCACTGCCTTTTAAAGGGAATGAAAACTGAAAAGAAGCACCTAGAATGGTGAGATCCGTTGATGATAGAAGCCAAGTAGACGCCTCCTGCCATTTCAGATACAGCTCCTTTCACTAGAATATACTTCCGAGCCTGGTGGCTTGCAGGGGCCTTGAGCAGGGTGGACAGAGTAGGTCCGTCAGAGAAGGAAGAGAGACTTCTCTGAAAACACGGACAGTTACCTTGGGCAGTGCCTGTGTCCTTGGAACCTGTCCTGCCCTCATCCGCGTTCCTAAAACAAAACCCTCTTCTCCCTATCTGTAGTGCTGGGTCGGGAGGACACCCGCGTTCCAAAGTTCAAAAATGCAGCACTGAGAATTGGGAAGAGTGAAAAAATAAATACATGAACGAGGGACGTTTTCCTTCCCACGGAAGCGTCTCTCCTTTGTCCCCTGCTCACGTGCGGAAACAGGCAGACACACAGACAAGTCTATCTTGCAGACAAGCGCACCAGGAAGCCTAATTAAAGAACGATGATAAGGTCTCTTGTCTCTGAGGAGGTCCTGGAAAGGTTGGAGGAAGACACACGAAGAGAGGAGGAGAGGCAGTTTAATAACCAGAGCAAGAAAGCAAATGGCTTCACCGACCGCCAGATCCCCAGAGAAACCAGTGACAGTGTCTGGAAGTTTCTCTTGATGGTACTGGTCAGAGAAGAAGAAGGAGTATCCGACTGTTTAAAAAAAAAAAAATAAAACCGTTCCAGACGGTTCCGTGTGCTCCGAGATAGTTGAGATGAGAGAGCTAGACCCAGGGCTGAGTGTCACGAGAGGATTCAGCCAGGCGGTAACCCGCTCTTCACTTTCCGCTGTGTCTGACCACAGGGCTGCTCCTCACCCATCGTAGTGAAGTTCGCCGATACTCAGAAGGACAAGGAGCAGCGGCGCCTCCAGCAGCAGCTAGCTCAGCAGATGCAGCAGCTCAACACTGCCACCTGGGGGAACCTGACGGGTCTGGGCGGACTCACCCCACAGTACCTGGCCGTAAGTGCTGGACCCGCCAGCGCCTGGGCCCCAAAAGGGCGGAGGGGGGCTGTCCCCGCTGTGCCTCCCGAAACCGTCTCCACCCCCCCCCCGCCAAGTTCTCAAAAGAATTCCATGTGGGGGCATTTTGAATCTCAGGAAATTATCTGAAATCAGCATTGATGCAGAAAATTTTTCCAAGGTAACCTGAGTAGCGTGAGGACATGACTCATGTCATTCTGGCCTGATGGAGGCTGAGCCGAATCCCACGAGGCTAAATTGCTAACCGGTGTGTTTCAGAGACCTCATAACATCTTGCATAAGAAGGGACGCAGCACGCTTGACGGCATTTCAGTGACCCCAAGGCAGGTGTGGCCCCAGAGGTTAGCGCGTCCCATCGAGGTTTCCCCGCGAAGCCCCATGGGCCCTTCCATTCGGTGGTCCGGGCCCTTCCCTGTGGAACCGCGCTGACAAAATCAAACGTTTCTCCCATCCGTTCGGAACCCAAAAATGAGATCCTATTGCAGGGCAAATAAACCCAGTTCTTTCAACCATTCCTTTACGTGACATTGTTTTAAACTTTCACGTTCCTGTTATTCCTTGTGCTACCCCATCTCCGTCTATGTCTTTAGTAAAATCCAGTGACCAGAATTTAAGTCGGCTCCCCTGGTAAGATCTAAACAGCACACAGGGCAGTGACCCCTAGTGTGGACTTTAAAATATTTTTGCGTGGCCTGAGAGGGGTCCTCGTGCTAACCACGTCACACGTGAGGCAGAAGGTCCAGCTTTTTATTTATTTTTACATGAACCACTGCTAAATCGTGGTGGTCTACCCCGTTTTTCTGCTTTGGCACCTACAGGCTAGACTTCACATTGATTACTCTAGTTTCATATCGCAAGTTTGGGCCCAGTGTCCTAGCCTCTTGGGGTGTGCCCGTGTGTGCGTGCGTGCGTGCATGCATGCGTGTATGTGTATTCTCTCCTAATTCTGTCACCTGACATTTTAACTGTCCCTCCCGGGACTGCAGGATCCATTAGCCTTACTCTGTAGCAGAGCCTGCACGGTTTGTACGACAGTCCTCCCTCTGACTGTGAAAGGTAAGAAGAGCCTTCCCGTGTAGGGGAGGAAAGAGGCTCTGAGAGGTTACGCAACTGCACCTAGACCGGTCTGTCGAGCGGGATCGCAGCCCTCTGCTCTGGCTCGTTTTCCTCCCTTTACGCAGCCAGGCCCGTGCCCAGTGGGGTCTGACTGTACTTCCTACTCGGTACACATTTGCTTCATGAAGGAGGCACCCGCTCCTCCCATCTTCAGCTGAGCCTTTAATAAAGACATCGACTGACTTTACCGTCACCTTATAGCCATTTCTCAGTCATATCCACAAAGACATCATGAGCGATTTCATCAGAGCTAAAAATCTATATTTGCTTTGCCATAGTGTTTTCTTGGTCTCTCATTCTAAGAGTTTATGAAACAAGAAATGAGTCTAGCTTAACAGTCAGCTGTTTTCCCCAAACTTGTGCTTTTCAGTTTTTCACAGGCCATCTGTTTATGGATATCAGAATTGGGATCAGAGACTGATGTCAGGCTCACCTTTTCATAATTTCTAAGAATCCAGCTTCCTGCTCCATCGTTTCTAAAAACCCAGACACCTGCACCTGTCCCCAGTTTTCTGGCACCTCTCCCATGGCTCACGGAGGACGAAAATCTCTGGCACATGTTTCTTTGACCGCATCTGCAAATTATTTCTGTGCCCTGGAAAACAATTCAGAATTCATCTCAACCTCATTTATAAAAACATTTTTTTTATGATCTTAATTATGTTTGCTCCTACTGTGGGCTCCCATTCTTTCTCGGCCATATTTGTTCTGCCCCTTTCAGTTGGAAGTCCATTTCTTTGGAAGAGCCTCTAAGACATTCCCTACTTGTGGGCTGAGGGGTAGATTCTGACTCTGGCCCACCGGAGAATGGTTATCAGTGGATAGAGTCCTGAGTAATAGTTTAAGGACACTGCAGGTATTTCCACATACCTCATTAGGTAGTATTAATTCCTCAATGAGCTGTAAAGCTAATTAATTTTACTTCGCTTTAATTTTTAAACATACCTAGTAGGAAAGGGAGTAAGGGCTTGTAACCACAAGAGAATGGGAAACCCACGACATCAAACCAAAGGAAGGGATTTCTCTCTATCAAAATGGTTAATCCCTAGCTGCTTCTTCCTCACTGTTCCTCGTGTGCGTGTCTGAGTCTGTGTGTAATACCTCGGCAGTGCATTTCAACGAGTCAGGAGGGATGAGTAAACATCACATTCTTCTGGTGCCAGTCACTGTTAATCCCCATAATATCATTGTAACTGAGACTCAGGTTGAATCAGCCACTGAGATTCCATTCCACTTGGTGCTTTTAAGTCAGTGGATAGATGCCCATTTCTGAGTCCTGTCCAAGTTGTAGACTTTGCTTGGTATTGAACTGAAAAAACCTACCCTTGCCCAGAGGAATGACTCTCTGTGTGGTTCTGCAGTGCTCCAACTAAATTCTGAAAGCTGTTTTTAAAAAATCACAAATTGGTCTTGTTCCTCCTAAGCACATAGTCTCATAACATTTCTCAATAATAAATTTGGTGAATCTATGCTTTTTTGGTATCTGTGTACATGTGTGCATAGGAGATAACTATATGTTTGCTCCTACCTCCAAACGAAGCCTGTATTGATCTACCTTATCAAAAAGAGGATATCAGTAAGCCTACGTTAGCAGTATAGCACCTAAATTAACCTATCATTCAGCTGAATTCAGCACTTTACAACAGTAACCACTTGCCTTTACCTTGTGATACCCACTGATTCGGGGGGTAAGATGTGTTTTTGAAAGCGCCAGGGAAAAACGCAGAGACAGGGATGTTAACCTTTTTTTTAAAAAGATAACGACATACCTGTAATGCACAGTGTCATTGTACATCACACCAGATACTTCTAAATCCTGACAAATTGTATGTTCCCCTCTGCCAATGAAGACCAGCTTCAGATGGGTGACCGTTGTCTTGGTCTGTGGTCACAGGCGTACCAGTGTGGCTGTGCATAGGTATGTGTGTGTCTGTAGTTACCATGGTGATGTCTCTGTTGGCCCAAGAGTCCATGAATCCAGGTGCTTCCCATGGAGGATGAAGGCCGCTGAGCTGTTGGACCGAGGGATGGGCCTTGATTGACAGAGCTGAGCTGTGGTAACCGCTAGGCTACAGAGAGCCCGCGTTAGTCACGCCACGTTGGTTTCAATAGATGTAACACCTGGTTGTTAAAAAGACTAAATTGATTGTTTTAAGGTAGCAGTGTTACTGAGTTTCCCCGGTGTCTCTCTTTCTTAATAGAGATTAGACATTAATATGGATTTACAGCCCCAACTGTGGGAATCTTCATCCCATGAATAGGAAGCAGCAAGCGACTGTATAAATGTACAGGGAGCTGGACGCCCCTCCCACCCCTCCGCCCCTGGTTCGGAAGCTGCCTGGTCCTGTCTCCACTTTGGTCTGACGGTCCGCTTTTCCCTCCCTTTGCAGCTTCTGCAGCAAGCCACCTCCTCCAGCAACCTGGGTGCGTTCAGTGGCATTCAGCAGATGGCTGGTAAGTCATGACACATGCCTTTGCCTTGGACCGTGCTGTTGTCTGAATTTGGGTGGCTTCAGAGGGCCAAGAAAACAAGCAGGAAAAACGAAGAACAGAGAGCAATGAGCAGCCGTGTTCACCTTCGGACTCGGGTGTTACAGTTAGAGTCCGCTGCTGGGGGGCTGCTTTCCCACCTCGGGCTTCTCAAACTGTGGGAGCCGGAGGGGCTGCAAAGCCCTCCGTCGTATCCTCCAGAGTTGTCTGCTGGTTTTGTTTTTTAATGGGATTGATTGCTGGGGAATTTCCAATAAGATTCCTTCTATCCAGGGCAGCCAAAATGATTGACGTCCTTCTAAAATTTTAATAAGCAGTCAATAAATATTCTGACCTCCATAATGAAAGCCAAGATTGCAGGCCTATCTTTGATACAGTTTGCAGTCCCCTGATAACCATAGACAATTAACAGGGTGCCTTTTTTTTTTTTTTTTTTTACTTTGGTACCCCAGTTGACAGAAGTGTACATCAGAAGCTTTTATGTGCAAGTATAATCTTTGTTCTCGAGAAAATCAAAGTGGGGCTGGATTTGAAAGCTGGCTCATAAAGGATTTCTTTGTATAATGAGCTATGTCAGTAGTCACTGAGGTGCAGTGATTAGTGAAAGGTCACTCCTATGGCGTCCCCTTCCAGGCTCCAACCCTAACTTCCACGGGGCCAGGGAAGGCAGCGCGCACAATCCATCAGAACACAGGTGCTGTTCACCTGCCGTGAGGAACAGCAAGGACACTTTTCCCTCGTTTGATTCCAGAAAGATGGGGGGGAGAGGACAAGGAGAAGAACAGATTTTTGGCACATTAGAATCAAGCACCATTTGTTTTTAATGAAGGACACCCTGACTCAATGAAATGAAACCTGACAGTACAGAATAGAAGCTAGATTTTTTTTTCCTGTCACTATGAGAACTCCTTTTTTCTCATTTTTTTTTTTTTTTTCTAAAAAGCTATCCTTGGTTTTGTTTGTTTGTTTCACTTTGAATGGATCTGGAAGGACTTTGTCCTCACATGTGTTCTGTGATCCTCAGCCCAGCCTTCCCCTGCAGCCCTACAGGCTAAGGGGAACCTGTCGTCTGACAGAATATATTGGCCTACAGTTTAAAAAAAAAAAAAATGCAGAATTATTTGCTGGGCTTTAAATCTCCTGACGCTGCCAGCGTGTTGTATTGTAATACTGGTTTTGGTTTACTAGGGAAAAAATAGATGTTAAAATGGTAAGTAGTTCAGTCTTTCAGCAGTATCTTTATGAATACAGTTTGGGAAACTGGCCTTGGAGCTAAGGATCACACCAAATAGTTAATTTTTAGTTCTGCGAAGGGAATTGGAGAGACAACAGTAAAATATCCAGGGAGTTCTCTGTGTTTTAAAGAGAAAACCTCCAGATTGCAAGCTCTACAATAAATGTGAAGATTTGTCATATTTTCAGCCAATGCAAGATTTATTTTTCCTTCTAATGGTATGGACCCACCCAGATCCAAAATTAGGGTCTTTCCTTAGAGGAAGCCTCTGGCTCTCCCACTCCAACAGTTGAATTATGCAGAGAAGGTCACTGGGTCCTGAGGCAACTGCCAAGCACATCTTCCCGGGTGGACAGAGCGCCCTGTCATTTTTCATTAGACGGTGGTCTCCTCTGCGTTGCCAGCCACAGGTCAGGATGTTAGCATTTACATGCTCTGCGCGCTCATTTAGAAACTAAGGCTATCTGGGAGTCACTTTAGAAGGTGCATCGAGCAGATGGCGAATTTACAGGCATTCCGTAAATGCTCTGGGCCATCCAAAACACCCCGTTCTTGAACCTTCAACATCTAAAATTCAGCACACTAAGTCTGCACAGGCTGTGAAATCAAATGCTGAGCCGTCCATTGTCTACCATCACCTTGAACGTTTAGATCAAGGATGTCGATGTCAGGGCTCCATCTGCTTGGTGATTTCCAGAAAGGTGGTTTCTTCATTCATAGGGAAAATCAAGTTTCATCTTCCTATTTGAAACACTGGTTTGGAATACATATATATATATATATATATATATATATATATATATTTTTTTTTTTTTTTGCCAGTAAAATCAAGTTATATGGCCTCCTGCTCTTTCATCCTCTCCCAAAGTTTGGCTTAACTTTTGTCTTTGCCAGTCATCCAGACCAGTATTATAAAGTGAACTGGTAATAGAAGTACCTCTCTGAAGGAGGCTTCCCTGGGGCATCCGGGTGTCTCAGTCAGTTGAGCATCTGACTCTTGATTTCATCTCAGGTCATGATCTCAGGGTCATGAGATCGAGCCCCACATTGG